CACGTAAATTACGACCTGCTAATGCCTCATAAATAATGGACTATTGTGTTTTAATTGTGAGGAAAAACAGAAAAGACATATCAGGAATGCTGTTTGGCTTCAATGAATGAAAGAAAAAAAGAAATATCAATGAGTTGACAACATCTACTTCAATAAGGTGTAAAACCATGTCAATTTTAAATCTTTTCATTTGTGCCGTTACTTCTTAAAAAAACCCTATATGGCAGTGATGCTGGACAACCTTCTCACAAATGAAGAAGAGACTTGAAGCAACAGAAATGTGGTTCTACAGAAGGATACTGAGAATAATATAGATTGAACATGTGAGCAATGTCAAAGTTTTAGAGAAAAATGGAAACAAAAAGGATACTTACACTTAACATATGAAAAGAAAGTTGAAATTTCTAGTGTACATAATGAGGGAAAAGGGCTTGGTAAATTTGATACTTGCAAGAAAGATTGAAAGCAAGTAGAATAGAGGAAAACAATGCATAACCTACCTAGTGAGCTTGAATAAATGGATGACAGAGTTTAGGAGAGATAACAAAAGAAGAAAATTTATTAAGAGCTACAAAAGACAAGAAATTATAGACAGCCATGATTGCCAATGTCCTGAACAGACACAGCACATAGAAGAAGAATTGCAATATTTTCTTAAAGTTGTTAAGTTCAGATATTTAACAAGACAATAGGGGAATTTTCATGGGTATTTTATAGCCATGGAACTCACAAGGAATTTACTCAATCATTAACTTAAAAATTATGATTCATCAGAAACTTCAAATAGCAAAACTGTGAAATTTTGATGGGTCCTACTGGTATATATAATTACTTAAAGTTTGTTATATTTATAGAGTAAAATTGACCAGTATCAGAGATATAGCCTTCAAAAGCAGTGCTGACATCAGAATCAACACTGAATGGTGGTAGTTTTAAGCGTCAAGCAATGAAAACCATCAAAATTAAGAAAATATTCAGCCATTCTGAATATATCAAGAACCAATTGCAGTGATATTCTCCCATATAGAGTTACTCATTCCACTGTGAGACACCATTGAGTAAGCTCTATGGCAGTTTCATTCAATGATATCTCAAGGCTGAAATCACTGTTGAAATGTACATTTCAGATCATGAATTCATTTTAGGAGATTATCCCAACAAATGCAGAGTTTTTAAGTTAAATTTATAAATGATGTAATGAATATGCATACACCTGGGTTCCCCCTCACTGTAATATGATTGGCTGGTGTCAGCCATAAATAGAGACTGATGTGGAGGCTCAGGACTATGTCTACTGACTACACCTATTGTCTTCGCCTATTGCCTACCACTACGACAAGGACCAGTCGATTACGGTTACCTGCTAGTTTGTCCTACTTTGCTACTTCGAACAAATATATCCCTTTCCGGGACATATCAATAAAAAAGAAGAAAAAAAATGGATGAAAAGAAAATTAAAAATCACATAAATATGTAAATTTTTATCTAATTTGAAGAATTTGAAATGTTACTTGTAGCATGTGGTGAACACTAGGAAATACCAGAAACAAATTTAATATATAAAGGTTCTTTGTTCTGGATAAGGTTGCTCTATGGGGGCTTCAATATGTAGTAGCAAGGTGGGCACCATCTAGGTTGACCTGGACGATACCCACCTCACCACCAGGTGCAGATTCGCACCACACTGGATGTAAGTGGCTGCCCTCAACATGTAAACTGATGCTTGACCCAGATGTGCCTAGGATGTACATGCATGAGAAAAACAATTCAATTAGATATATAAAAACCCACTCAAGAGGGTAAAGAGGAGTGTCTCTTGCACTCCCAGAAAGAAGAAGAATCCATGTTATGAGAATGCCACACATCCACTTGCCAACATTAACTGACAAAGTCTGGAGTTAAATAAGCAATATTTTACATATGAGAATTTTAGTCTCAAGTCATCAGTTTTTCAGGCAATAACATTACACAAATTTCCAGAATTAAAATAAAAAATGGATACAAATGTCCAGGATTCAAAACACCCTCATAATACAACATATACTTTAAGCGCAGTCAAAAGAAAAATTACCCTTTGTGTATAATATGCATGAACTTTCCTTGTAAAAAGTAATAGAATGGAGTGTAAGACAAGGACATGCCTTCTCAACGTTTAAGATGAAACAATCCTGGGAGAATTAGACGTTCTACCAGGATTCATGATTTTAACATTGCATATCCAGATGGCACAGTGTTGATAGTAGTCACAGAAAGGAAACTACAAGAAGATAATGAAGGAAAGCAAGAAGAAAGGACTAAACATCAATTATAAGAATGTATGGTTGTCAGCAAAAGAAACAAACCAACATGTGAATTACAAAATAGAAATACCAAAATAATTGCAAAAATTTAGATATCTAGGAAATGTCTTAACAGAAGATGGAAAATCCGAGACTGAAATCCGGAGGTATATTGGAATAGTGAAAGATACCTTCCAAAAGTTAAGCAAAGTCTTAAGAAACAGGAAAATTTCATTATGAACAGTAATATTAGTCTTCCTATATGGCAGTGAATGCTGGACAATCTCTTTACAGATGGAGAAGAGACTTGAAAACAACAGACATGTGGTCCTACCAAAGGATGCTGTGAATACCATGAACTGAACATGTGACCAATGACAAAGTTTTAGAAAAAATAGAAACGAAAAGGACACTTATATAGAGCATCAGAAAGAGAAAGTTGAAATTTCTCAAGTACGTAATGAGGAAAGAAGGCTTGGAAAATTTAATAATCATAGAACATAGTGAAGGCAAGAGGGATGAAGGAAAGCAATACATAACACCTACCTATTGAGCTTTCATGCAAATTGTTGCAAGGGCAGGGATTAGGAGAGATAGCAAAAAGACAAATTTTAATAAGAACTAAAAAGGACAGGAAGTTGTGGAGAGCCTTAAGGGATGCATCACATAAAAGAAGTTATAAACCATAAAATACAATATGTTAATTTGCATATTAAACGTTTTTAAATTACTGGCTGAATTTTATTTTAAAGATTCATAAAGGCATGCAGCATTTGAAAGAAAACAAAAATAGAATTGCAAACATTTTTTAGTCTGTAATTAAGGAGGCAAAAATTATAGAAGTAAAAGAAGGAGAGATGCCAAGTAAAATTTTTAAAAAGCGGTGGGGGGGGGCTAATTTTGACTAGAGTTCAACTTTGAGTAGATGCAAAACCAAGATTAAACGAGAGAGAGAGAGAGAGAAAAAGAGGCTGGGAACCGGTTCAAAAACAAATAAAAGCATAAGACTTCACCATAAATGTTAAAGAATTTACCTTTTAGTAGAAGGACAATTAGTAATTGGCCTTTGGCCAGATTACAATGTGCTGAGAATTTATAACTCCCATTAAAATCTCTTTTTATATGTCATGTCCTTCCAGGATGTGAGCAATCATGACACTCTCCATATCTTCTATTGCACTAAGTAACTTTTGACTCTTTACCATCTTTTTGTGTCTCTGTTCTATCCAAATATCTGACATGGTAACACCCATTTTTAGATACTTTGCCATAATATCAGGTTCAAAAATGACACCAGCACTTACCTCAGACTCAGTGCCCATTGGTATCAGCAATATTCTGGATAATTGCTCTTCAATGGGATTATCTATAGATGTTGGAATCTATCACATCATTGTTTTACAAACCTGCTATATGCATCCCATGTCTAACAATCTTTTTACTACTTCAGGTAGACCAGTGTTGAATTTAGAGTTGTCCTTCTGGCTGCCAACCAAGGCTAGAGAGTTTAGTTATTTAATCCATGAATGAGGGGAGAAGGGATAGACTCATACCTTTTTGTTTGATTGATTTTGTTTCGTTTTTAACACTTTCTGGGTTATTTAAAGCAAAAAGGTTTATTTTTAAATTGTGAGAATAATTTATTTTTTTGCAAGTCAATATTGCATTAACAGTTTTTAAGAATAACAATGATTATTTTAGACAGAAATCTTACTATTTAATCCATAGCTAGTGGGGAGGAGATGGATTTATACCTTTCCCATGGGTGCATCAGTAACTGTAACAAACTCAATTGAAATTTGAACTCCACCTTCCAATTTGACATTCTGAGCCACTATCCATTACACTAACCACAATATGCAAACAAACTGTCATCCATATGAGGTCTGTTTGCAAAGCATCCACACAAATTAATTCTTGTGTAAAAATTAAGAAGCCCATGTACTGGTCACAATCCAAAGTTACTTATTAAAAAGTAAAAACAATTTACTTTATTTACATTGTTTCGACTTTTGTCTTCATCTTTATTGACATATTCACAGTGTTTCAGCCATTGTATGCGCCGGCCTTCTTCAGGTGACATTTGTTGGAATTTCAACACATGGTCAGTGGATAAAAGTGCTAGTTGATCAATTCAAAAGTGACTTGACCCAAAGATTTGTAAGTTAAATCCATGGCCACAACAGAAAGAACAAAAACTTGAAGAGTTGAGTTATCAAGGGGAATTAACTAAAACTGAGACATTCAAATGCATAACATGTGGAATTAGAACAATCTACTTACCCCTGTGAACTAAATAAAAAGTTTGGTTCAAAATTCCAACAAATATATCACCTGAAGAATGCCAGAGCATACAACAGCTGAAAAACTGTGAAATATTATGCGTAACACTCAAGATTAGGACATTAGTGTGAATAGATCACTATACTAAAGAATTTTTCAATGTGTCCACATTGCAGCCAAATGTGACACAAGGCTGAAGTTTAAAATGTAGGTTTTTCGACAATACTATGGAAAAATTGCTCAAGCCCCCTTGGTATTGCCCCTTTCTCTGGATACCTTGGTCACCGAGGAATGATCCCACTTGAATAAAAGGTACTGTCTAGGGTGGGAGGGATATCCCACTCCTCCAGGGGTTTGAACTAATATTATTTTTAACCTCCCTGATAGGAGCGAACTCTTATGCAAGGAAGTATTAGTGTTCTATACTGTACTGGCTTACAGCTATATCACACTGAAACACCAGTTCCCATATGATCACCAAAATTAAGCCATGTCAAGCCTGGTCAGTACCTAGACAAGTGACCCCTTGGGAATATCAGGTGCTGTAAACATGGATGTACAGGTGTTGTAATAGATCAATGGCTTGAAACTGTTAATCAGAGATTCAAGTTCTAAGGCCAGTTGTGTTTGTTATATTGACTAATGTGTAAGTACCCTTGGGAAAGATATGAATCTACCTCCAAATTCATACAATCTAAAAGTATTTTCTATAAGCTGTAGAAAATGAATCAAATCATCCAAGCCCTCTTTCCTCATTCTATGACCAAGAAATTTCAACTGTCTCTTTCTAATTCTAAGTATAAGCATTCTTTTGGTTTCCATTTTCCTTAAAAGGTTGGATGTACAGGTGGTGTAATGGACAATGGCTTGGAATTGTTAATCGGAGGTCGGAGAGTCAAGTTCCAAGTACAGTCGGGGTTGTTATATTGACTTACGTGTAAACACCCTTAGGAAAGGTATGAATCAACCTTCTCCCACCAGCTAATGGTTAATTAGTAAAACCTGTATGACTCAATCATTATCTTAAAAAAAAATTCTTACATTCCCAAAAAAAATATTTTCTATGCTTTAAATAACATGCAAAGGGTTGCTGATAAGCCGTAGAAAACGAGTCACTCAATGTATGTACTGATAATGAAAATTACTTATCTCAGAAATTTAGATAGACATTTACTTTACAAAGTCAAGTGGCCAGGGATTGAACTCACAACTCTTTGGATCTTGTTAATACACGAGTTTTCATTGAATTACTTTCGCTTTTTCGTGCGACAAAGTTTTCTTCTGAAATATTTCTAAAATGTTTCAAATCGGGTGTTTGTATTCATTTTACTTTTTAAACCTTTTCTTCATTCTCTTGAGTGAGTTGTTCGCTAAAAAGAGCTTTCCAACAAGAAAAAAAAAAGTCTCCGATGTGGTTACAATGGCCAAATATAAGCTTTCAGCACAAAGAGAATTTAAATACACATTGAATGCCTAAACTGTTGTTCTAGAGAATAACTTAAATGTAGGGCGGGGGGAAAGAAACCTCTTTTACGGACAGAGAAACTAAACCACACTTTTTTGACACAGCTTGACACGATAGGTTAAACATAACAAATACAGTTGTGAATAAAACTGTCACAGAAAAAGAAAAAAAAGGACTTTAAAGGCAGAGAGAAATAGAGGAGGGGTAGGGTTAAATCTAGACATTGTGCGGGTCGAAGAGAAAGACGATTAACAGACGTCATAAAAAAAAAGTCGGGGGACAGAGCCGCCAAGTGCATAAAAACTTAACTCTAGTCGATGAGATTCAAATAAATTGGCCAGCCAGCAACATTCTTGCAAATTGCAGAGTCTGGTCTGTTCTGGTTTAATTTTGAGCCTCTGTTTTCATAGTAATGGATCAACTGTAGGTGAGAGAACGTAAAAAGGTGACTGAAGGCTGACATTTTACATGAGAGCGTGCGACGTAGTCTTTTTAGATTTATCTTGTAAAGATTGGGGATGTTTAGGCATTATTAATTTATGCTTAGTAACACCGTCCGCTCTCCTAACTGACGATGGCGACTTCGGCTTGCTATGTGCCAATAATAACCCTAAAATAATTATATGAATAAATTAAAAAAAAATGTAGTGTGCTCGGATTCATATTTAAACGCAAACAAAAAAAGACAAATTCTTCCTTCTGGCAATTTTTACAAACCACAATGTGACAATATCAATGTTTTATTCGGTTTCAGCACTTTGATGCTAGCCCACTAAAGCTGAAAGGTGTTTCGATAAAAAAAAAAAATCGGTATTTCCCCCCCCCCAAAAGCTGCTTTTCAACATTATCTGATTTAAGAAGAAAACAACGCTTTTGAAAAAAATAAATAAATAAACAAAAAACCAGATAGAACCATTTTATTCTTGACCACATTGGATATAGGTACCTTCAAAGAATCGCCAAAAAATGAGCATACATGATGAAAAAATACCCCCAAAAGTTAATAAAAACAAAATTTTAGCATCAAAATCTTTGTTATTAAAAAGCACGACCAAAGGAATTCCTGATTATTATATTTTTGTGCCTTTTTAGAAACTTCGAAATTTTGGCTAAAAATCTTGTTTTCTTACCTCAACGGGTGACCATAAATTAGTCTGGAAAAATTGTGTCGCTGTCTTTGGGCAGAGGGCGCAACTGAGGAAAATTATACTGAGAGGTACCCAGCCCTGGAGAACAGCGCCCTCTCATTGCATCAGAGAGAAGAATCGGTGCTCGCAACCGAGGCCAGCACAACCGACGGTCGAGGGGGCTCGGGCAATTTTTGTTCCTAGCTCGGGCTCCCCACATTAAGCTGACCTTGTGGGGTGGGGGGATACAAATTAGCCTGGGAAATTTTAGCGTCTTTTTGCGGTGCAAAACACTCTGATTTGGAAATCCTTGCAAAAATCAGATAATTGTCGGATTTTAATGAAACTTTCAGGATTTATTCAGAAATGAATTAAATTATTTTTCAAATGTTCCTTTTTTTAGGAAATCTTTGTAAAAAATATTTTTTGACATCTGTTATCTCTCACTTATTTAATTTTATGAAACTTGAAGAAATTGTTTTTTGTTGGGTTTAATGTTCAAGAAAAATCCTCACAAAATTTAAATCATTAATTTTTTTTATAAAACAGGACACCAAGTTACAAAAAAATTTCTCTGAATCATAAAATAAAATATGCAATAAAACTAAGATATTTAATTACAAAAGCTTTTAATTGCTTTTATGTATAAAATATATTATGTACACTAGTCTTAAGACAAAAAAATTCGATGAATAATGAATTTTTACAGGAATTGTTTTCATTTTTTAAAAATTTAATTAGAATAATTTATAAAGTTTTAAAATCTTATAAAATTCTTTACTAAGTGATATTACTATTAAATTCAAACCTTATCTACTAATCATAAATGGAAATGTAGACGACATAAGACTTCTCAACAGAAAAAAAAAAACACTGCAAAAGATTCAAAATTTATGTGTATCAATTCTCTTTCCATTGGGAGAATGTCACTGCCAATAATACTAATAATAATAATAAAAGCATATATATCTCACATTGAAAACTCGATTATTGTCCGACCACCAAAGTTAAGTGAAGTCGAACCTGGTCAGTACTCATATGGGTGACCACTGGGCTAGTATCAGGTGCTGTAAGTTACACGACAGGCCTAGCAATCCGGCGATTGATGCAATTTTGTTACTTTTAACAGAAGATCTCAATATTTAAATTTTAAACCAACTTTTGTTGTTTACCTAAAAAAATTTTAAATTTAAATTTGAGCAAATTTTATTTATACATAAACAATTAGAAACAAAATAAAAATGTCTTCTAATTATTTTCGGTTTATGATTTTTTTTAACAACAGTTTATTTGTACAATTCGAAAAAAAAAAAAAAAAAAGAAGATTAATGATTTTGGAAGCTCTTCAAATCAACTAACAGAAACCACCATCACTGTGAGCCCTTGTTAAAATGTCTTTGAATATTTTATTTTATTTAGAATACGAATTAATTTCATTTTTGAAATTCCAGATATCCAATATTGCTATCTTCAAAAAAAACATTGACCACTTTTCTAAGTGTTTTACAACATATTTTAAATTTTTTTTGATAAATACAGAATATATATATATATATATATATATATATATATATATATATATATATATATATATATATATATAAATAATGTGTGTTTGTGTGTATGTATATATGTCAAAGTTTGTATTTTTATATATAATTCAAGAAACTGTATTCGAAAATACCTGTCTACTAAATTTTATTTATAAAAATCCAAAATTGCAGAACATTTATTAAGCATATTTTAAATTTATTCAAATAACCACAAAGGTAGTTAAAAAAATGGTTTAAAAATACTTGTTCATTCAATAAAACTATCAAATTTAGTTACAGTTTCAAAAAATTTGTTATATAAATTTATTGGTATTTTTAATTTACAACATGGAAAACAAAACCTTAATGTTATAAAAAATGACTTTTTAAATTTTATTTTTAATATTTTAGCTAAAATATACAAAAAGGGTTCCTTCACCCAATTAAACAAAAGAAAATAGATCAACACATTATATATAATTAATAAAATTTAAAATTTCCATTCCGATAAAATGGAGGAAGTTTTTTTTGACAAACAATTAACCATGGTGAATTTTTAAACCCGGGTCATCATAAATGGCCAGAATCTTCCTTGCAAAAATATATTTGTAATTTAATTTTGTGTGTGTTGTGTGTGTCAATTTGAAATTTGAGACAAAGTTTAAAATTTATTAAAAAACAAATTCAAAACCAGAAGAGCGCAACATTTTTTTGGCAATTTTTAAAATTTATTTTTAGAAAAAAAAAAATCAAAATGTGTGTTAGAAAAATGTCTACACTATGTAAAAAAGGAACGATTTGGGAATCATAAATCAAATTAAATTTTATTAGCTTATACCTCCCAATGTCCAGTCTTGATTCAAAAAATTCAAAATGTTTGGTATTATTGGATTTTAAATCAAATTGCCATCTTCTTATTCAAAAGATAATTACATCCTACAAGCACAAAACAACATACATTTTTTTTGGTAGATTTTCTTTTTATTTAAGCTTTGAAGGTCAATTTATGATTATCATAGAACTTTTTATCTCTTTTTACATTATATCTAAAATAAACAGATGTTGAATTCGTCTCACATTGAAAGAGCAATCTATCGTGGGTTCGACGTTATTTGTTAATAAGATCGGGTAAAACCACGTCATGTGGATATATTAGACTATCCAAATATGATATTTTAATTAATTTAATTTGATGCAAAGTTTGATTTATAATAATTAGAGAATGATTTTTGCATTGAAAATATTGAATTTTTAAAAAATATTTTGGAAACAACCACTAATTAGAAATTCTAAAAATAGAATTTTAAAACTGCTGAGAGAGAAAACTGAAAAATAAATGGCAAAAATAATTCAATAAAAATTGTTATTATTAAAATTTCAATTTTTTTATCCATTTAAGGAAGAGGTAATTTTATTTTATTTT